GCTACATTGTTTTCTGCCTAAACATCGCCCCTTCCGTCACCCGTCGCGTCGCACTGTCGTGCGTCGCGTCGTATGTCGAGTTGTGAATCGCCTCGCCTGAAGCACGATGCGACGCGTCGTGTACTGTCTCCCTTTGCTTCATGACGTTTATAGAGGGCGCCTTTACCGTTTTCTTTAATTAATTTCCCTCCCCCGGCCCGTGCTTGAACAGCATATGCGATAGGTAGCAGGCTTTGATTCTGGTGCTCTTTTTTGTGCATTCTTTCTAACTTGTGTTTTCATCAAGACTGAGTCGTTGAAAAAGTGTTTTTTTAATCAAATGTAATCAGATACAAGTTTGCGACCAATCAGCATTGTTTTCAGGAAGTGGATAACATTAACGTTAGCCGCAACAATGTTTTAACTTTTCCTGCTCATTGAGATTTGAGAGTCACAATAGTGCGCCTCCAAGAGTTTCCAACGCGTTGGCCAATCACAATGCGCGAAATTTATCGACCCTTTCCATACGCGTATTGGGAGGCATTGTGATTGGTCAAAGCTTTGCAAAGTTTTGAAGGTGCACTATTGTAAAGCACCCGTATTCTGATCTCTCTAATAATTATTTCCAAATCTATTCTAAGATACAATACATCAATCATTATTACATGCTTGCTAATGCAACATGCAGATCTGGTGAGAAATTATGTGTGTGGCCAAACAGAGTTGAAAAAAAGACACGGCCACAATGATAATAGCGTCTGTATAATGTTTTATTCAGAAACTCGGACTAATATCATTGAAAGTGTGGTGATATTGAAGCTAACCAGGAAAAGTGACCTGAGGGAAGACTAAGACGGAAAATTCTAAGGGTATTAAAGAGCAGGCTCGGTGGTAACTTCCTAAACCCGTGGTCAAACTTGCAGCCGTAAAATTGGAGACAAATTGCCTGGAGGACTGGGAGTACTACTTGGAAATTGCCAGGATGGACCACAGAGAAATACCAGTATCTATAAAGTTACAAATCTACCACAAATGGGAACTTCATCGACGGTATTAAAAAGAAATCATTGGCTGGGTAATAAAGAGTGACGAATTCTGGGGCTCCACTTATTATGAGAGAGCTGTTCCTACATTATGCAGATTATATTTTTTCTATTTTTTCAATAAAAGATGAAATTAATCCAAAACGATAATGGATGAGATAAAAACAAGAAAAAAATCAACATCAAGTAGCAAAAAGCATGTACGGAGCTGTCGTAGCGTCGCGTCATAGTGTCGGGACTATGCGCTACGACGCTATTTTGGCGGCTATAGGACACCATATAACTGACCTTCTAAAGCTGTCGTAGCTTTGTGGCTTTCCAGGACGGACGTGCGTGCATAATTCCAGACATGCCTTGGCAGAAGAGTAGGGTATAGCCTAAGGCTATTTCATGTAGCTTGCTACTGAAAGATAAGCAATTTGGTACAAGCATGTACTTAGGGTACATTTACAAGTCTGCTCATTCTCTCTTGACTGGTTTCCTTTATTTCCAACACGTGGGTACAGCCAATTTTAACGGTAACCAACGATAACATGATTAATTGCCCCCAGCCCGCGCCGGGAGCGCTGTGCCGCTTTACACGCGTGGGCGGGCGGCGGTGGCAGCGCTGAGATAAGTGAGGCACAGTGAGTTGTTTAGTGACTGATTTCATTCTTAGAATGTTGCCGTGGTAAGCCACCCGGAGTATAAGCCGCAGGGACAGTTTCAGCGTGAGAAAAACGCGTAAGCCAGGGCTTTATTCCAAAAATATGTTTTTATTATTAGAAAAAAATAAAAAACAAAAACAATTAAACTAAACAACAATGAGCGGAACTCAGAAGCGAGAGGGGGTTCGTTCGACCCCCCCCCCGCCTACGGGCCTGAATGAGGATGTTGCTCTGCTGAAGGCAGATTCCTGGCAATTGCTTTCTTTTTCTACCTCCCGTACACGGCCAGTGCGTGGCATTGCCCTGTCATTGTGAGTGCCTGCCTTGAACAGAAGAACTCCATCATCGGTTGAAAACAGCCATGTTTGTGTTGAGTTTTGCAAAACATGACGAACTTTTTGTTCGGCACTAATTGGACAGATTTCATTGGATCAATAACAAAGATCAGCCTAATAGATTCATTTGTGTGTGACACGTGCCCACTGATTGATTATGACAGTAATGGTTCCAGCGTCCCGTGACCTATAAACCTATGGTGTTCTATAGCCGCCAAAGTTGCGTTGCATCGTCCTGTCGACCAGACGCTAAGACAGCTCCGTCGTATCGTGTCGTCCCGTCGCGTTGTAGCGCCGCCTCCTTTCTTATTACTTCCTATGTACTGTTCAATGCATTGCGTCATTAAGTACGGTAGTGTGTCGGGTCTTGATAAGCCACTGTGGATTATGCAAATTAATGCATAATGTTATCTCCTTGTTTGCTTAGACGCGTCTGTGGTAGGCAAAGCCAATATTGGAATCTTTATCGGACAGAATATGCATGGGGCGGGGGGCCATTTTTGAATGGGCCCAATCAGAACAGAGTGCACTTTTTAAAATAGGCCAATAGGAGCAGACTGTATCACTCAGCCACCTAAGAATCTTCACTGGACAGGTAAGGCAGCTTACGTCTTGTCCAGAAAACGGAGACCTTGGTGGACCGAAGCATCTGCATAGCCAGGGGGTTGAAGAAGACAAGGGCCCAGAGTTCAGTCAGCCTTTGTGGTAGCAATGTACAAACTCGCTACAAGGTTTCAGTTCTTTCAATTACACCAACGTACTCTGCCATCACAAACATTAAGAGTTCATACACATTCTTTGATGGAGTTAGGTGTTTATTCACCTTGCATCTCATTAAAATGGAGACGTTATCGAGTACTGTTTACTAATCTGCACCACAGATGATCCACAGCATGTACTTTTTCATCTTCAGCAGCATGACAGCTGCTCCAAATTTGTTGTGTTCTGCCCCACAAAGTGAAAGCCACTCTAAGATTGCGTCTATGACCAATACTAGCGCGGCTTTCATTTGCAGGTGACAGGAAACCAAAAAAAGCATAAGAGCATATTTTCGAACATTTTTGGTGACGGGATTGAATCTGGTTTTCATCACAAGACCGTCCCAGCTGTATCCTGAACTTATACGGAAGGACGTGCAACATGTAGAGCTGGCTCCGCCATTAGATCGACGCACGTGCCGTGTGGTGCACACAGAGTGTATGGTACCGTGGAGAGGGATTCATCTTTCTGAAGTAGCTTTTACAAGTTATTTTTAATGAGAAAAAAAAAACTTATACATTCATACCTCTTGAAATTACTTCTGAAACAGTAATTACCGCGGAAAAATGCCCCCACATTGTGGGCTTGGGTGTCATGGCATGCCCTTTTAAATAGTAAAAATCGATTATTTTCCACATTGTCAACAATTGTCCTCAAACTATATCTCATAAGAACCAACTGGAGATATATCTCGAACAAAAGAATATTAAAAAATCTTATAGAAACGAAATTTGAAAAACGTTTCTCCTGAAAACGGTCTTCAGAAACATGTCCATCACACTTTGAAAGGAAAATGGATATTACAACAGGGTTTTTCTAACTTCCAGATATACAAATTTGAAAAGCGACATGGATCACATTCTGTATGCTGCAGACTTGAGCAAGGTCAGGTCATGCCAATTTATTACAATTTCTGTCATTCCTTGCAGGCTAAATTTATCAATCGGGCCCTGCTTAGAAGTCTGGATATAATTGGCTCAAACATAGTTTGTTATGAAATTTTGAATTTTCGAAAGGATTAGCTTGTGTGTGTGCGTGTGTCTCGTAGCACAAAAGAGAGAACCGCATACTAGGCTGCCAGACCAGTATGCACACATGTGGCACACCCATACCTGTTTTACACACTAAGTTCAGACGTTACTTTGTTCTCCTGTGGTGAAGGAAACTTGAGGAAAATAATCATTTTTCTCTAACTAGGATAACTCCTTCGAGCTTGATTTTTGATGATAATTTCCGGGACTGTTCCTCTTCATTTTGCCTCTGAAACTGTTTTTCAGAGAGGGGGAAACATTGTGTGGACGTGTGCGAGTCCACACTACGCCATCGCACCCTACATTATGTGGACTTCTTTTGTGCAGAGGTCCACACTAAATATGCCATGCCTGCACACATGTGCACACGCATCGGGTGACGAAGTTTGCCCATTATTTCCTCCATCGACGCATGGCGAATCGGTACCCACTTGAATCGGTATTTTGTATCCATTACGACATCGGCAGGGCTCCAGTCTAAGGTGTGGCTCAAAACCTCCCTCGCTTTAATTTGATCATACACATAAAACATAATTATTTCAAGCGCTGTATGTGCCCAGCGTACCACTGCAGACGCAGTCCTTTAATACAATGAAGCAACGTAACGTCAACGTCATGTTTGTTGACCCTGTTTTGATGGTGATTTTAAGAAGAACATGGGAAGTTGTTGACGAATTAAAGGTTCTTTTCAGACATGGCTATAGTGAACCGTCACGCGACTTTTTCGTGAGCGATTTGATCATACGTGTTCGCGCTTGAGGATCATGACCGTGACCAGAGTATTGTAGGAAATAGATAGGCCTACTTGATTGTCCTATAAAGCATTCGCTTCCTCCATAGATTCATGCAATAAAGTAGGATCCAACTAATATTCATCATGAAAAGAAAATGACATGACCAAAAACAAAGTGCTCTACTGTGATGCTAGCTTTGATTCCAGCCTGGTTTCCCCACACCGCTGTGAAAACAGATTCGCGCAAGCGACATGGATCACATTGTCAGACCACATTATGTACATTACAGACATAAGCAAGGTCAATTCACGCCTATTGCCGTCAACCTTTGAAGGTAAAAAAATTGTTAATCTGACCCCGCTTCGCAAAGGTCGGGTCAAAACGCCTTCAGACATAGCGTGGTATGAAATTAGAACCCGGAACGAAAGGACTGACTGGTTATATTGAACATGTACATGTATGTATACATACACAAAAGATAGAACCGTATGAGGCTGCGAGACCAAGGCATACGCAGCATGTTGGGGGAAAGTTGTAGAGCAACCCGTGACGAAGTTTGCCCATTGTTTCCTCCATGACGCACGACGAGTTGGTACACTGCACAACCGGTTCTTAGTTTTCATTGCAACATCAGTTGGGGGTCCAGTCTAAGGTGTGGCTTGCAACCTCTCATAAGTTAAGTCTTGCACATACTACATCTCAGGCGCATTGTTCCGCGTATCAACGTGGCATCAGCATCTCTTTCGCAGCTCCATGTTAAACGTTGGTGATTTTAAGAAGAACATGGGTGAGTTGTTGACGATTTTCATTCTCTTGTAAGAGATGCTCACAGTGAACCGTCACACAGGTTTTTAGCTAGTTATTTGATTATTGCATGCGCTCGAGGACCATAAAAAAATGCGCAGCCATGATGTACGAAAATCAGGTCTAAATGAGGGTCTGTACGTGTTGGGTATTGTGGCAAGGGTTACAGGCTAGTAGATACACTCAATTTGTCTGCGCAGTCCAAATGATGATTTGCACCGTCAGTTCTCTGCGACATAATAGACCAGTTTGTGGCCCGTGCACTGGAGGGTTTTAAAAGAATGAGCGGTCGGCCGCGAGACTGCCAGCTTGTAGCGCGTTGGCCCTCGTGTGGTGGAGCTGAACATGAGACAATCAATGCGCGGCTCAATGATGGTGCAAAGCCTGAATTGACAGACGACATTAGTCTTGTCCGAGGCAGTCTCTGCGCTTTTTGTTGAAGGAAGTTGAAGATTATCGGGCCTCGCGTATAATGGAACTCACCGCATCATGATCAAACGTGTAGGCTTACTATCACAGTACGACACTGTTAATACCTGCAAACAAACAGCGCAAGCTATGCATACGGAGACAACGTACATGACAGTCATGTACAGTACAGCAGCCAAATTATGGTGTTCTATATCCGCCAAAATTGCGTCACGTCGTTCCGTCGTTCCGTCGCCCCGACGCCGGGACGCGACGCTACGACGGCTCTGTCGCGTCGTGCCGTCGCGTCATGGCGTCGCTTCCTTTCTCATTACTTTTATGCTGCGTATGTATAATGCATTGCATCGTGCCGTCGCGGCGTCGTGTCGTGACGTCGTGTCGCGTCGTTACTTCGTGTCCTGCTGTCTTGCCGTCGCGTCGTATCGTGCCGTCACCCTGGCCTCGGCGTCGTGCCGTCGCGTCGTGCCGTCGCATCGTGCTCTTGCCATCGCCTCATTACTGATGGAAATAGGGGGCGCCCTTTGAGACAGAGTTAAGTTTAATACCACTACAGATACCATTTTTTCATGATAAAATCTTGTAGGGCCTATGGGTGCATTCTACCAAATCGTTGGGTTTCTGTGTGCGAGCTCATTAAGGCTGGTTCACTATAGTACTTGGCGCAAAAGCGACAAGGCACAAACGCGAATTTGTGACGTTAGATCAAATATTCGCTCTGCAAATTCGCAGTAGTTGAACACAGATATTTCGTGACATCCGATTTCCTTGGCTTTCATGTCCACCTAAAGTATGTAACGGTCTTTACACATGTGTATGTCGTACGTGGTACATTTTTCGCCTTAACTTCCTTCTCGATCTCTAAGTTTTAACAATGTTAATATACACTTTCCTCTGCATTAGGCACCTGGTAAAGAAAGCAAAGAATTTTAACAATCCACTGATTCCCTTACTCTGCTCTTATCTTACTCTGTTCTAACTTTACCGTATGAGGGAGACAGTGTAGGTTGCGACACATGGTTGTAGCACCCCCCCTTTTAATTATCAGTCAACGGTAGTTAAGTATACAGCTATTCTATTTTGGATAGGCCTACATTTACATGACTTTCGGATCTTGTTTGGTAGGAACAATAAGAGGCATAACCAAGTCACAAAAACGCATCACCAATGACCAAAGCTGGAACAAGTTCATGGTTCGGGTCCGCGACCATAATGCATACATTTCATAGAGTAGGCCTAGTTTGTGAATCAACAAAGTGCAGTTCCCACTATAGTCAGGTTCCCAGACCTGATGAATTTAACTTTCGATTCAAGTGTCCCGTATCACCGAATGCCATGCGACAAAAAATACGAATTCCCTCGCTTTCCGAAAAACAACTCCAATCTTGTTGTTGTCAACATTTGGATTGCAGCGCGTTGGTGGTGGTTGACTTTCCAATTCCTATACCAAGCTGAGCCCCGAAGATATTATTCAAAATATCAGCTGTCATCGCCGCTTTCTAAGTGAAGGGAATCGCTGGTGGCTGCTGTCATGGAACGCGCGTCAAGATACAAGAACCAGGCGCAGACACCCCTTCCCTTAGGTCTGAGTCAAGAAAGGTAAAGGAAAAATAGGGAAAATACTTTCCAATTATAACTAAAGTAAATTTAGTAAACAAGATAGCATCCCACTGATTCTTCCTAAAAAGAAGCGAGCGAGCAAGCGAGCAAGCGAGCGTAACTTACAAATTGGAGATCATAGTTCACAATTAAAAAAATCGGCCTAACCCCCCTCCCGCGGAAGAAAAAATCCTGGACCCCCCGTGGCACTCACTGTCTCCGTGAAGTAGCACGAATTTAGTTTACATTAGAAACGCCATTACAGTAATTTTCTTTTAATTTTACCTCAACAACCATGTACATACATTTTCATTGGCTCCACTTACCTCAAGCTACCATAAGATGTCAAAATGAGGCTAAAAGTGTATGCCAATTGCGTGTTTTATAGTGTGCATTTTGGTTGTCTTTTAAAGCAACGATGGGTGACTCGAGTCCAATTTTTTGGGACTCGTTACTCGGACTCGGCTAGTGATTGACTAGGACTACTTACTGGACTTGAATCAAGTCCATTCAAAACCTTTGTATAAAATTCAGAAATTTCATTGAAAATGCTGTCCCCTACTTGTAGTCCATAATTGTTTGGATACGACCCATATTTTCGGGTCCAGGCTAATGGCAGGCATGTGTAAAAAGTGCGCTGCGTAACCGATTCGACAGAGTTGCCTGTGCAGTGCAGCGTCTAAACGTTTTTCATGCATGAAGGACTGACTTGCTCGCAGTCAGGTATTTTTCTTGTGACTTGTGCCAATCATCATTGCACAACAGATTGAGAGTGACAGTGACACCGTAAAACGTCTTCTTGGCCTGGATTTTTCTCTCTCCATTTCCTGGTCATATCAATAGATTGTAGTTATTTGCAAACAAAAACTACAAATATTGCCAGGATATTACTGGCCCCACTCGTCCAGCTAAGATGCAGGCAGCAATAAGGCATTTTTGGAATATTTTCTATTATTCGTCAGACTCGGTGGCGACCATCATTGAGCGCTTTTAAGTGCCTGAAGTTAAATCTCCTTCTGTGTCCTTCCTCCATGGTATAACTTTGTGCGGAGTAAGCATCCTTCAAAATAAGAACTGTACCGTCTAGACATAGGGAGCCAGTCAACTCTGTCTGTAATCAACTTGGTCTGTGTCAACTTGGAAATATTGTTCACAGAGTTTACATTTCTGTATTTTCCAAAAAAAATTGCCAATAACCAGGCCTTTATGACCGAACTAATAAAAACAGAGCATAACCGAAGAAAAGTCGCGTCCAAGTTGAAAATATTCCAATTTTTCTAAAGGGACCGAGTTGGCGTGGGACCGAGTGGACCCAGACTGAGTTTGTTACGGACCGAGATGACCGTATTAAAAAAAATCATGCGCGTGGCACAGCGGTGTACTTCAATGTTGTGTTGCCAAATGACCTTGATGTCCTTCAATTCAAACAAAATCTTTGGTGTGTCCAAGATTTGAACCCAGGAAGGCAATATTGGGACTCGGCTCGGACTCGGACTTGGCCCGGACTCTGATTAAATGGACTCGACCCCATCACTGTCTTTTAGTGATGTCCTCAATACGCCTCCGTACAAAGGATGAGGGTGTACCTCCAATACTTGAGAAGGGATGGTTTGCATAAAGTGAAATAGATTGTTTTGATGTAAGGATACCAGTGGTGTGGGGGGAGGGGGAGGCGTGGTCCTCTCCCTCCCGCCTGGCAGAGGTCCGTACCCCCTAGTGCCCTCAAAAAGTAAAGTACCTTTGTGCTAGCCCAAGATCGTTGGCTTTACTTTCCCAGTGCACCTTGTGTACCTCCCCCCCCATCCAAACTTCACTCCACTCAACAGCAACACAGGTCACGTATGCACGCAAAAAACGGAAGTACGCGTTTTAATTTGTGTCCTTTGTGCCCCTAGTGTACGTCTGGTAACTTCCACCGTCATTTTTGACTTTCCATTTTGGCGGGCATTTTCCAACAGACTGGAAAGTGATAGTGCGATACGTGCCTATGCTAATTACTTATTTCTTCGGGGGTTTTATGTTTGCAAAATACAGTCTTAAAAGGCCATGCGCAGTGGTGGCTCCAGACCCTACAGGTTCGGGCCTTGACAAATCTTATTAGGGGAACGATAGTTCTATCCACAGCTATAGAAATAAAGGCAGAGCCGATTGACTGACTATTGAGCTCTTTTCTGTGAGGGACCTGAGAAGTTTCTGGGCTTTTCTCAGTGACAGTTCTCACGCTTGAGACCTGCACCTTGATGGGCTGGCAGTCACAGCAACATGGCTCCTTGTGGGATAACTTCAGCCCTGTTTTGTTGGCTTTAGAGTTCATACCAATTTGGGCAAACTTTTAGACGTCAAGGGTTTCTTTCTTTTGGTTTCTTTTTGGTTACAATTTCATTGCTGATTGACACCTGGTAATTATCGAAGGGAGCCAAGCCACAATCACCTCGAGCCCATTTTCTGCCTGGTTTTGCGCATCCTATCCTCCTTCATTGGCAGATGGATCTCCACCCTCCTGACAACTGTAGCAGGACCGGACTGCTGTTTATTTCTTTTCTTTTCTTTTTTTTTTTTTGCACGAAAGACCATGCGCAGTGGTGACCCCAGACTCTACAAGTCTGGGCCTTGACAAATCTTGTTAGGGGAGCCACATACCCAGAGAACTAAAGGCAGAAAGGATTGACTTGTCTTTTTGTATCTTCCTTTCAGGTCGTGTAGTAATCACATTGGCTATCTTCATGGCTGCGCTGGTTCTTGGTAAGTGTAACTTTTACCTTCAAATTTTGTGATCAAGCGAATTTCCCAGCCCGTATTCTTCCTGACTGATTGGGATGGGGACTTATTATGGTTATTGCTTAACTGTAGTCGTAACGAAATTGTTTGGACTGTGTTGTAACCTGGAATTCCTTATTATTATCAATCGATTGTTGACCCCAACTCTCGGCACGGGTCCGTGATTTCCCCCCTCTGTGATCACTACAGTGAGCGGCCTAAAGTGCCATGTCTGCCACAACTTTAAGGGGGATGAGACATCTACTTCCTGTTGCGACAACCCCGGGGTGTCAGAGCTTACCTTGGAATGCCGCCCAGCAGACCGAAACGATGTGACCAGATGCAGTAAAACTGAAGGGACTTTGACCAATTCGGGTAAGCACACCTTAAGCTAACTTGGGCTTGAATTGTTCTCAGTGGCGTATACGTGTGTAGAAATTTTTCGCTTGAGGGTGTGGTGGTGGTGGTAGGGGAATGACATGACCATTTGAAAAGCAGGAGGGGGTGACAAAATGTGACCATTTTATAGAGGTCGATGTTCATGATATTGTACATCTGTAATAATTATGTATTCAAAACAACATATTTAGCTGGTTCGGCAGTTCAGCCGAACCAGACATTGTAATAGTTCTGTTTTTTTTCTTTCCTTTTTTTTAGCTGGTTCGGCAGTTCAGCCGAACCAGGTATTGTAGTCGTTCTGTTTTTTTTTTCTGTCGTTTTTTTAGCTGGTTCGGCAGTTCAGCCGAACCAGGTCTTGAAATCGTTCTGTTTTTTTTTTCTTTCCTTTTTTTTAGCTGGTTCGGCAGTTCAGCCGAACCAGGTCTTGAAATCGTTCTGTTTTTTTTTTCTTTCCTTTTTTTTTTTTTTTTTTTTTTTTTTTCTTTTTCA